CCTGGATTCCCTTTTATACGTACTATACAATAAGTTTTTGATACTAAATAGTGTTCATGGACAAAAATTTATATTACCTCCTGTTGATAAAGAATCCATGATAAGTAGAATACTATGTTGAATAGGATATTTTATTAATTAGAGTTCTAGTAGTAAAGTTATATAATATAATTAGAATTCTCTTAAAATAAGCATAATTTACTCTATATATATCTCCTAAGTGTAAACACAAAGCATAAAAATTAAAATTAATAGTTTATTTTTTTTCAAAAATCTTTATGGTATCAAAACCAAAATGAGGTTATTTTTAAGGTTCAAATTTCAAGATTTTTTCAAAACCCTAAGATAGCAAAATAGGCTTACTTGGTACTCATCTATCAAAAAAATCTAACATCACCAACTATCCAAACAGAGCCGTCGCTCATTGACACCAAACAGGGAGAAGATTCTGTCGCATGTGAGCCACACGCATTGCCGGTTATAGAAGCGCATGATCCCTACACGGCATCAAGGATCACCTCATTTAGATCGGAATCGCGTCAAATAGTTGTCGTGCACAAAGATCAGGCTCTTTTTTGGCATTTCGCATGTGATCTATACAATCACTCGTATAGACTCCGGCTTTTATGCATTTACGCGCATTCGGCCAATTCGTTGTCTTGCGCCTTTCATTGCATCGTCCCAATTGTTTCGCGCCTTGAGGCAACTCAACTGGACCTCCTGCATGCCACCCCGCTCTGGTCGCACACTGAACCACGCTACATTATCGGACAGACGTCTTCTGTGTGCCATTCTAGCTTTTTGCACACTGGGACATCCGATCTCGCCATTCCGCGTGTCGAGCCAACCCAATCTGGTCATTCCGTGCCTGAACCAAGTTATCCGTGTCTGAGCCACTGCTGAGCCAAGATGAGCCGATCCAGATCTGATTTCAAATTTTGTCTTTTTTTTTCTTCAGTTTTTTAGTGCTTTTTTTACTCTTTTGGTGCAAATTAGGAGGTTCGTCTTTCACTGTTGAGTATTTTTCTACTTATTTTTAGCAATATAAGATAAAAAAAAGTATAAAAACAAAAGTGAGTATTACTAGTTTCGATAACTCTTCAGTATAAATCAGTCATGTAATGCTTGATGGAACTAATTATCTCGTTTGGTCGATATCTTATTTATTGTTCATTAAATCTAGAAGATTGTAGGATTATATTACTAGTGAATTGAAAAAACTAGATGTTGGTAATTTAGAATATACTAGATGGGAATCTGAGAGCTCATTGGTAATGTTATGACTCATTAATTTCATACAACCCTACATTATTAGAATATATATGCTATTTAACACTGCAGAAAATATATGAAATGCAACATCTCTTATATGTTTACAAATGAGTAATGACGTCCAGATTTATGAACTCTAAAATAAAGTTCATGGCACAACATAATGAGAAATAATTATTTCTTAGTATTTTCTGAACTAAATGGATCATGACATGAGTTAGATTACTATCAAGATTTTCAAACAGATTGTCTTGCAGAAGCAGTCAAATTTCATAAATTGATAAAAAAATAACGGATTTATGATTTTTTTAGTGGGTCTGAATACTGAATATGATCAAATACGGGTCCAGGTGCTTGGTAAAGATCTTTTTTCCTCATTAGAACAAACTTATGCTTATGTCCAATAAGAAAAAAGTAAAAGAGATATCATATTTCACATTACATCAGTTAATAAGGTTGGATTAGTTACTCAGTCTGATCAATCCAAAGATATACAGAAGTGTGACTATTGTGGCAAGCCAAAATATATTAGGAAAACTTGCTAAAGGTTACATGAAAGCCCAATTAGAGGTCGAAGAGAAGGAAGAGGTGGAACCACAAGAGCTCAAGTAAATTTTGTTGAAGCCAAGGAAACACCTAGCTCACTATCCGTTGGATTCATTTCTACAGAAAAAATTCAAAACCTTAAGCGTCTTCTGAGTCAACTCAACTCTTCATCAACTATTGGCACATCGAATATAGTAAAATCAGGTATTATTCATCTCTATCCTATTTATACTCTTGATAGTTAGATTATAGACTCTGTAACCAACAGACACATGACATGATCTTCTAAAGAAATCTTAACTTATTTTTCTTGTACTGAATTAGAAAATGTCTATATAGCAGTTGAGTCATACACTCCTGTGTGTAGAATTTGTTCCATTAATTGTACTATTACTATTATATTATTTTCAATTTTACATGTGTCTAATTTTTCTGACAATCTTTTATCTATTAGTGTCATCACTAGAGATCTCAACTGTAAAATTAATTTTTTTTTTCTTATTATTGTATCTTTAAGGATCTTCAAATCAGGAAGATGATTGAAACTAATAAACTGCAAGATAACTTATATGTCTTAGGTAGACACCAGAACTTAATTGGGAATCAAGTCATCATTTGAAATAAAGATGTCAATATGAAAATATTACAATGGCATTGACGATTGAGGCATCCTTCTTTTTTTGTTTTAGAAAAATTATATCTTATTTTATTTAAAAGAACTTTTATAGAGTTTTTGTTTTATGATGCATGCGAACTTGCTAAACATAAGAAGAACTCTTATCATCTAAGTAATCATAAAATATGATCATTTTATGACTATTCACTCTGATATTTGGGAACCTACTCAGAAT